AAAAAAAAAAAAAAAATAATAAAAAAAATAAAAAAATAAATAAATAAATAAATAAATAAATAAATATATAAATAATAATAATAATTGGGCAGGAGAAATAGATCCAAATTTATTATTCTATTAATTTTTAATCTAAGCACCCATTGATAAAAAATAATTATTTCTAGAAATTGAGTAGAAGAAATAAAATAAGGTACCCAATATTTTAAATTAAAAGGATATTCTAAATTAAAAGGATATTGTAATAATGTCTCGATCTTTGCTTGATTTCAATAGCCAAACACAAAAAATTTAATCCACGTAAAAGATGGATTTCAATAGCCAAATATCATCTTATCCATTAGCTAAGAAAACCACAAATAAATTTAATTCACGTCTACATAACACCGCCAAAGTTGTAGCTTGTAGCTTGTTAAACTATAGTAAAGGGCTAATTACCCAGGTACTCAAATTTGAAAGATAATCCAACTTTTTTTTTAACATTTGTTGTCCTCATTCGTCATCATCTTCTTCATCATTTCCTATTGCATCATTCAACCTCACGATCAACTTGGCCTTTTTTTTCCACGATGCTCATAAAATTGAATCTGTAAAGACATTTTAATCAACATTATTCAGTTCACACTCAAACTCAAACTCAAACTCAAATAATCCAATGAACGAACTCTGCAAACAAAGCAAGATGACTTGAAACATTTCATCCTCAAACTCAAAGAATCCAATGCAAGATGACTTGAAATATTTTATCCTCAAACTGAAAGAATCCAATGAACAACTCTGCAGACAAAGCCAGATGACTTGAAATATTTCAAGTCAGATGACTTGAAATATTTCACCCTGACCAATGTTGCCACATGAACCAAGAGAATTTGTTATGAGTAGTCTATTTGTCACATTTGGGAAAAAAAAAAATAGAAATGCTTCATTCTATCACTTTCAAAACAGAGATGGGTTAATTGCATTTCTTCTTGAATGATGAGTTCACTTAAGTTTTAACAATTCTATATTTCCTGTGCTAAAACCATTTGATTGGGGGATAAAAAAGTATCTCCATAAAATTTAATAAAAAACTAAAATTTAGTAACATAAAGAATAAACAAATAAAATTAAATGGGTTCCTGTGAGGAATCTCGATTGGCTAATACACCTACAATGCTCAATTCATCTCTGGCAAAACTGGGGCAGGCCCATGTTTCTTAACATAGATGAACAACTTGAGGCTTCGCTGCAACTTCCTTTCACAGCTTCCAAACAAGAACCATTCAGCTCATTAGTGTCTCCCTTTCTGGCTCGGCCTGAATCCAAGAGAACTTCATCCTCATCGCCCGAGGACTGGCTGGTGCCCTACAAGCTATGAGACGTGATCCATGTCCAGGATCAGTTGGGCAGCTCGTAAATTGTATCATTCTTCGATGATTTTTTCTTTAGGGTCATCTCATGGTCCTCGTTGGGCCCTTCTCAACATCTTACTCGTCCGTTCTCGACATCACGTCTTTCGATAAAAATTCCAAACGACTGACTTTCTTCTAGAAGCTTCTAGTCCTCGAGTAACCCGAATGACTTGACTGACTATGTCAGGAGTTGAGGTAATCTTCAAGTCACTCCGCCCGCTCGACTGGTGGCCAAATAAGAACCCCATATCCAAGACAAAGTACACCAAAAGCAGGCTCAAAAAAGACATTAAGTTTGAATAATTTGCAACATTACCATCCCGTTTGGGTTACGGAGCTGGTGTTTTACTGATCAACAAATTTGAATCAGACACATGGGCTCATGTTCCATCTGTAACAAGGACTGCAAAGAAGGTATAAAAAAATGAGGATGATCAATAGATACCAATCATCTATCAACTTGTGTCACAAGCATATAAAATAATATAAATATTTAAACTACTTATTGTATCTAAGGCCAAGTATATAAAACATTCAGATTAGCCTACAACAATATAACACAGGCTTGTGTAAAGCTTCAATTGTCCACAACATTACCGAATATTGGAGAAAACAAAATCTCTAACCTTAATAATTATTTATTAACTATATACATTGCACTTTAATAAGACCACCACAATGATCTAAACAAAAAAATCTACAAAAACCGTTACTTATAAACCTTAATTCGTCCAAGATTGAATAGTGGTTAATTGATTCACAGATACCCAAACACATACAAAGAACCTTGTAATATATGAAGATTATATGCATTGGGAAATGAAGGAAATGAAGATGTCACGTCTTGCGACTAATCAAATAAATAAACGTACGAAGGTTATATATATGCATTGGGAAATGAAGAAAATGAAGATGTCATGTCTTGCGAGGTATCAAATAAATTAAATTATCATTAATGAACAATTCCAACAATCATTTTTCACAACCAAGAACCACCGACAAAGGACAGGGGCCGGCAAATGAACAAAAGAGAATTCACCAGTTTCAATAATTGCTTGCTCTGGAACTTCTACATTTGTAATATATGAGGTTGAGGAAGGCGGGATCAACTTCAT